TAATTATTAGGGTGTCCCAAAATAGTTCCACTTTTCCTAGAATATTTCGAAATAAATATTTCAAAATATTTCGTTTCTTCTATTTTCGCACTATTTCACCGTATTATCCATTCTTCTTCTGTCTTTTGTCTTTATTTCTTCTTATTTGTGTTATTTTTGTTATTTTTGTTATTATCTTTATTTCAAAATAATTATTAAATATTTTAAAATAATCTGAAATTGTGAGATATACTCAGTATATCGTGTGTTCCTCTCCATAATGAAGAACTTTTACAACCCGTTTGAAATACACTTTTACGAGGGAAAAATACCCTTACAACTAAAAACACTTTTACGAGGGAAACTCGTAAAATACCAGATTACTTACACGGTGATTAAGTCAGAAAATTGCCTCATAAACTACTTAAAGGTTTTGCACAATTACAAGGTATCCCAAAAAAGTCCTGTTGTGTAAAAAAATGCTTATTAAATATCTTAAAATAAATATTTCAAATATTTTTTTTTATTTCAAAGTATTGATTCTACATTATTTTCTTTATTTCAAATTTAAAATAATTTAAAATTGTGACGTGTTCACTGAATACTCCTTTGATTAATAATAAATAAACCTCTACACCCTGTTAAACAACTAAAAACTTGTTTACGAGGGAAACTCGTAAAATACCATATACCAGCTTGTTTAAACAGGGTTGCTTCTTATAAATTATTCATAATGTCCCAAAATAGTACACCCTGTTAAACAACTAAAAACACTTTTATACGAGGGAAACTCGTAAAATACCATCTTATACCTATGCAGGCTGTTTAACTTAAGTTAATTAACAAATTGCACAACATACATTATTCAAGAAACCCCAAAAAAGTCCTGTTTTCTAAAAAAAAACTTCTCAAAACAAAAACATTTCTCATTCTTCCTCATGCTTTTCTCTATTTCATAACATTTATCAAAATAACGTATAACGTTTATCGGATACACCTTTCAATAATAAAGAAACTTTTACACCCTGTTGAACAACTAAAAGCACTTTTACGAGGGCCAATCCAAAACCACTTAACACACCACGTTCCCTTTCATCCGCATTCTGCTCTATGAATTTTCATGAAAGAAGTCTACACACATAACACACACACATACGCGACCCCGCGTTTGTTTTCCGGCGAATTTCAATTTGTTTTCGGCCCGTGTTAGCTCTGCATATTAGTTTAGCGAGTTCGTTCCTGGGGGAATCCCGACCCACGCATTTCGCCCGAATCCCGAATTACGCGCGCCCGGATGAATGCCATTTACAACTTTTGACGGGCGCTCGTAGAAAAATTGGAATAATAAACTATTCCGACGTTCTCGCTGCGCCAAACGATGTTCGCAGCGTTCATTCCGGCAGGAAATGGTACTTTATGTCGGCGACAATGGGGCAAATCTTGCCATGCATCTTGTTGTTTAGTTTCTCCGAGATGAAATGGAGTACAAGTCTAGTGTCAATACTGTCAATTCTTGAAATATTTTAGAAATGTATGAGGAGAAGAATTTTATTGATATCAATAATGAATCAAAAATTGACATCAAAAATAATTTGCCGCATTTCTCTTTAAAATTGTTATAAATTGCTCTCAAGAAGAGTTTAGAAAAAATGAAATGCCACGATATACACTTTGCTCCATTTCCGATTGCAACATGGTCATTTCTATGAGTGGAACAAAGAAAGATTATTAAAATGACAGTTGTCAGTGAAAAGTTGCAATGACACAAATGTCACTCTTTCCTTTTCCTTTGTAAGTGTCTAATGGAAGTTGTCTTTATCGCACCTATGGCCTATATAACATATGTTGCGATCAAAAATTGAGCAACCTGTATGTCTGTAAGCCTATGTTGTCAAATATTAACTATCTAATGTCAGCTGGCAAATGTCAGTTATCCAAAGAAAAACATCAACGGTCGAATTACAACTGTCAAATTGCGACGGTCAAATGTCAACTGTCCTAACTGTCAAATGTTAATTCTGTCATTATATTTGAACAAACTTGGTAGTGATAAGAATAGATTAGAAGAGAACAAATAAGATTGTAATCGCGATTGTTTACGATACGCCCGTTCGGATTTCGATTGTAAAAAGTCGGCCAGTTTTTACGCAATATTCGCGATCGATAGAATGTAATTTTCGAGCGGTCCTCGAACGAATGGCTCGTTTGCCAAAAACCACGTTGATATATATTATCAAATGCACTGTGGCAATCTAAAAATACGCCGCAGCCTTTCGACTTGATACGAATACACTTTTTTTTTTCGAATATCGTCGATGTAATAACAATGTCTGCGGTGATTATTATTACTCATCGCTTTGTATACGGGGGGCGCCGCGAAATGATCACCAAATATTTATTGGAATTGCAGCTAATTTGAAGAATGCTAGTTTTTAAATGGGCCACTCTGTATATTTTATATTAGATACTCGAAAACTGAAACTTACCTTAAAATTGACTTAAGAAAGCCTTAAGGAGATCTTCTAGAAAATAAGGAGCACTTCATGTGTAAGCCTGTATTGTCAAATGTCAAAGTATCTATTCAACTGTCAATCGTCATTATACTTTCAAATTTATTATTGGGTGCATTTACAAAATATACAGAATCTTCCAATATTTACTTAAAACTAGTGCTTTATATTTGTCATGAGATAGCTTAAAAAATTAAATGCACACTTTGGCCAGTATTCAGCGACCCATTTTAACTTTAGCGTGACTCTAAAGTCGCGTCTTGAGTCCCTAGTTACTCCATAACAACAATGTAAATCTGTCAAGTTAAAGACACGACTTTAGAGTCACTCTAAAGTTAAAATAGGTCGCTGAATACGGACCATTATCTGTAAGCCTCTATTGTCAAATGTCAAGTATCAACTATAACCTATTTTAATTGTCAAATGTCAACTATCATTTGGTCTGTGAACTGTCAAACTGTCATATTATTAGGTACCTATTAGGTACTATTATCTAAAATAAAGCGGGTTTTTTACCCCGTTTTTTCACCCTGTATATTTTACACCAATCGATAACCGAGTCCTCTACAGCATTTAAAAAATGCGAAAATGTCTAAAATAAACGTCCATTAAAAAAACTCCACCACATTACAATGTATTTCGTATTCCCCGATCCTCTGGTGAAGGAAAATCAATTCGATTATCCGGATAACTTTCGACCTAAATATCCGAGAGAGCCCCCATCGATCGACCCCGAAAACTCGACGTCTTTATTAACGATGGGGCATAATCGCGGACGAAATTCCGCCACGCAGTTTTCGGTATTCCACCCCCCGTTGAGCGGGGGCCCCCGGAAGACGGGCGGGGCGAGAAAGATAATTAAAACCGCGATTGCGGCGTGCATATAAATGTCGCTATTAAAAAGAGTATCGCTCGCCCGACGGGAGCGGAGTCTTACCCGCGGGCGCGGGGGCCTTCTCGGGGCTTGTTCGGAGTTTTATAAGACTTTTTTTATTGCTTTTGTTTTTGTTTGGGCCGCTAATGTCTCTTTTAAGTGGGGAATACACCTGCGTAAAGGGTGAACTGAATGCGAGGGCGGCTTCGTGGAAATTCGTTTAAATTAAATAGACTAGAAAATTAGAGGACTAGACAGTTAAAAAAGTAATTCTCTACAAGTAATTTTTTCCGCCCTCTGCGTAAAAATTATAAAATTATCATTGTAGGCAACTCTTATTAACGTTACTAAACACAACGCCTTCTTGAATTTTTTATTGCGAAAAAACACATATCTACTGTATTAAAATAGAGGTAGGTTTAAATGTTTTAATTTAAGCAAGAGGTATTCATTTTAATTCGATAATTTCATTAAAATCGTTTAAGTTAGATAGAATAGAAAATAAAAGAACAATCTCTACATCCCATTTTGTGAGAAAATTATATTTTGCATTGTTGCCAACTGTTAATAATATCTAAGTTACTAAAACTCAACGCCTCCTTGATTTTCCAATCATTTAATATAATCAGTAAATTTGTTCAGTAAAAAATCAGTAAAAAAACAATTCTCTACAAGCCATTTTCTTCCGCCATTATGTATAATAATAATTATAAAACGTTCATTGTTGCCAACTGTTACCAAGTTACTAAAACTCAACGCCTTCTTGGATTTCAAATCATTTAAGCCAAATAACAAAATGTTCAATACATAAAGTATCCATTTTGTTGAACACGAGCTGGTCCAATAGCATTACTTAAAGTATCCAGTTCAAATCGATGAATTCGCTTATTTACCGCGTTCCTTTGTTCGAAGCGAAAATCCCCAACAATAATAGAAAACTCGAAAATGATAAATGTTTGAGTGCAGTTTCTTAAAAGGTTTCGCTTAGTTAAAACGTCTCGGCAAATAATAAATCTTGTCGGGCTTCTAAAGCTCGATTTCTACAAGTTAAACAGACGTTTTCCAATGTTACCATACAGGGTGAATCCCTTTAAAAACTATTTCGTCGCGATGTTAGATCACCCTGTATGTTGACCTTTGCTCGGAATTAAAATTAAACAGTTTCATGTTATCCTAATATACTCGTACTAACCCTTAGTATTAGAATTATCCATATTATACAAACTGTAATTAAACGTTTAGATAATTTTCTTGTGTCTGTTCATTTCTGTTCGAAAAATAAGTCTTGCCAACCTAAATTGTGACATTGACTTTTAGAGATGCGAAATGTCACTTGCACAGCCCACTTAAGGGAATAATAAATGACCATCAGAGTGTGCTTATTCTCCTTCCAGCGGTCACTAACAATTTTTAATGACTATACAGGGTGAGGATACTTTAACAGTGTATTTACAAATTTCCGAAAAGCTTATGTAAATAGATCTAATAGTAAAGTAGTTTAGTGATTATGTATACAGTAGAATTCAATTTGTATCGAATGTATCGGTTATCTGTTTCACGTTCGTGGCGAAAAGGAAACAGCGAAAACGTCTTAGAAAACCCGTTATTTTTCTCCTCTTTTCTTCCGGCTTTTCCAGGTTTCATGGCACCGTAGGAACGGCTCGCGGCAAACCGGATCGCGAACGCCATGCTGATATCCTGAAAATCCTGGAAACGAGCTATCGTCGCTCCAGACAGGTTTCGCCCGTTCTTAGGACAGGGATTCATTCTTACCAAAAAGTAAGTACAATCTCATGAGCTGGTGTAACAAAAATATACTTACAGGGTGTATCTGATCATTATCGTATTCTCAATCTCATTTGTTAGGTGTCAAGATCAATATTAAGTCATTACTATCTCATGCTCAAGTTAGAAAATATCATTTTGAAGTTATCTTGTGCTAGTAGATATCTAGTATTTCAAGATACCTATATTATATCAATCTTATTTAGAAATAGAAGATGAAAGTAGTGAAAATATGAAAGAACGTATGAAAGAAAATATGAAAGAAAGTATGATCATTTTGAAGTTGTCAATCTTATTCTCAAATATTGAATCTTTTACAGTCAAGTAATCAATTTCTCAATCAATTTCTCAGTAATCAATTATAAAGTTATCAATCTCATTCTCAAATATTCAATCTTATTCTCAAGCAGGTAATCAATTTCATTTTCTAATATTCAATCTTATCCTCAAGTAATCAGTCTTACTCTCACGCAATAAAACTCATTCTCATAATAAAAAAAAATCAGTATTATTTTCAAGTGTTCAATCTCATTTTCAAATTATCAATCTTATATTCTCAAACTTTCTCAAACTCAAACTTAAGTTATCAAACTTTTTTTTAAACAATCAATCTTATACTCAAGTTATCAATCTTATTATCAATGTTTTATTCTTATTCTGAATATGCAATCAATCTTAATCCTTGGTCATCAATTTTATTGTTGATTTAATCATGTTGCCAACATAATAATATGTAAATCGCTAAAATATTTTATCTAGATAACAAAGTGTGCTAATAAAAAAATGCCTATTAATTTAATTATGTATTGTTGAAATTAAATGGCCCACGAGCGCATAGAAAATGAGAAGCGAGTTGGCGGCGGTCCGGCCATATTCGAATTAGTTGGTTAATAATTAATAAAACGGCGAAACACGTTTTGAAAGTTAATAAGAATTAATTCGATTTCGACCAGGCACGGGAAAATGTGATGTGTTTATCGTTTTGATGAAAAAGGAGCGATTTCCTTGACCTAGCGTGTCGCCAGCCAATAAAATGGTCGGGCTTATAGTAAACAAAAACTGCAATTTTCATCGAAAAAAATTCTTTATTATTTTACTCGTTTATTCATTCTTCAGTTTGACCTACAAACATTTTTTGATCTGCAATTGAAGTAGATTACTAGAATTGCAATGGCTTTCATGGGTTGGTATTTTTTTTGGAAAATTGTGTTGGTAACACTGATGTTATCTTTAGACTTTCAAATGCGTTTGTTCTAAATTAGGACATTTTTGGGATGATTTTATTTATGATATTTTAGATGTAATTTTGATAAATATTTTAGAATATTTAATGGTTTATTCGATTTTTCAGTTGATTATTAATGAAAATTTGACTGTTTTTTAGAATAGTTGACAAAATTATTCTATTTTTAACATGATTTTTCATGCAAACTTGACTATTTTTTTAGAATACTTGACTACTTTAGTCAATTTTTAAGATGATTTTTTCAAGCATCAAATTTGACTGATTTATTCGATTTTAATGCGAATTTTCATGCAAATTTGACTCTTTTTTAGAATATTTGACTGCATTAGTCAATTTTAAGATGATTTTTTAAAACAAATTTGACTCATTTGTTCGATTTTTTAATGATTTTTTATCAACGCCTTATTCCACCAAATTGCAAACATTTTCAAAAATAACTTCTAACTACATCTTGTATTTTTTGCATTTTTTGATACACTCATGACTCATAATTTCCAGTACACCCTGTATACAGGTATTACCAGATCACCCGTATACAAAACCAAAACACGCAGAAACTCCTTCAAACAACAACTTCCCGAAAACCAATCTCGCGATATAGCAGCGAAAAATAGCTTTCAATTTCCACTTCCATTTCCAACGGGGAAAATCCGCGCCGGTCGAGTTCTCGGGCCCCTTCGGCCCTGCGACCTTTGCAGAAAGCGAATCGCTAATGAATTTATTCCGAACATGGAACCGTTTACCTATTTATAGCCCGCGTTCTTGCCCAACTTTCGGAATCGCTTTCGGATTTCGGCCATCGGCAACTCCGGGGAGCTTCCGGGCCGAAAGAGCCGGAGGAAAGTCCCACGTCGAAATGATCATTTATTCAATTCGTAAATCTCCCGAACGGCTTCCTGAATTATAGAAAAGTGGAGAGAAATGGTCGGGTTTAGTGGCGGAGCAAAAAACCCGTTCAGATTTTTTTTTTGCTAAAGCTAGTATGAAATGGGTACGTGAGAGATTATAGGAAACGGATATTTCGATTGTAGATGGGCGAATGAATTATTAATAGTAATGCATAAGGAATTGTTGTATTTAATCTCCGTTCGTTCCGGGGAAACTATTTCGAATATACGCCGTACAAGTTCCCAGACTGGTCGATACAGCACTTAAGCTAATTAAGCTTTAATATATCTCTCTAATATAAAATATTCGATTCCATGCAGACCTATTATTTTCATTAAATTAAGTTTCAACTATTAGAAATTTGTCGCATGTTTCTAAACGCATTTATCGCGTTATTTGATCAGTCTGAGCATTTAAAAATTAAATTTTAGCAAGGTTATTTTCACTGTAGGGTTATTTTCAAAAAAATTGGTCAGAGTTATCCCAAAAATATCCCCACAATTCCGAAAAATGCTTTCATAAAACTATAAACTATATAAAAAATGTTCACCTATAAATCTGCAGCTACAACTGACATAGTGACTACATTAATAACTGTACAAGTTCTAAATTTTAATTACAAAATTATTTTTTCATTAGGACTTTTTATTAGGAATAACTTTTCTTCGTAAAATTAAAAATATCAATTTTTTCCTCTCGTCAACTCCATCCAGGGACACACTGTATGCCAAAGGAATCGATATCATCGATTTCCAGAATCCATTTTAATTCTCTCTTTCATCCCATCTTATCTCCTATCCTCTTTAATCCATCCCATCTCAACCATAACTCACTTCTACACTTGCAATAATTTAAAAAAAATTAACCCCGTATCCGCTTCATTCCTGATTACCTCAAATAAAGAACCTCTAAATATCTCCCCCAAAGGGCCAATCTTCTAGCTGGAAACATTCCATACGAGAGGCGTATATTAATTTCCACCGAACAAGCCTGCGGAATATATGCAGCGGGGATTTCCAGTATCGGAGCAGCAGCGGGCAAAAACCGCCTGGATAAACGATTTGTAACGGAAAACTGGCTAATAATCCGGTCGCGTGAACGAAAGCCGCAGCGGCCCAAGGTATTTATTGCATTCGTGTGCATTCGCCCGGACCTTTTTAGTGGCATTAAACATGAAAACTCGCTTTAACTCGCCTTACCCAAGGTGAGAGAGGCTCCGTATTTACCTTACACCAGATGTTTCTATCGATGGCTTGATAGAGGCAAGGTTAAGGGCCAATTATTCTCAAGACTACCGAGCGGTTTTTCCTTGCTTTGATATTGAAAACCACATGATTGATGCGAGTGATTAGTTAACAAGGGATGGCGACTAGAGAGTAATTAATGATTTGAGTGATTATTGGTAATTGATTAACAGATCGGATCACTTGTACTTTTATAGGAATTGTAGGGTAACAAATGGATGTCCTGAGAATCTCGATATCGAATTATTATTGATTAATTCGGTAACATTTACCTTCCGAAGTTAAGAGAATGCTGTTGTAATAAAGTATAGATAATCAATTAGTATTTAATTACAAGATAACGTTGCCGAACATTCGCAGGAAAAGCCCTTCGATCTAATCAATTATCGAGTCCTTCGAATCACGCTAATTGCGTCGGAAAAGATACTTTTCCAGCGGTCGACATCGACCTTTCCCGCTTTTCCGGCCGTCGATAATTCGATCGCGAGTTTTTCAATTAGATACAGTCTAGTTCACTTCCTTGTTTCTCTTCTCCAAAGAACTAGATGATAAGGAAGGCAATTGTCCTTGATAAATTAGAAGAAGCCAATTTATTTCTTTATTTCCTTATTCTCATGAAGTGGAAAAATAAGAAAAAACTGTCCAAGATCCATGGAGACTTGAGGAAGATTTTTAATTAAACATTTGTAAAGAACTAAAATCAATAGAAGCAGCTGATAGAAAACTATCCAGAGTTTTTCTTTATTTCCCGTTCTTCAAGAACTAGAAATTTAATTATTATAAGAAGAAAACTATCCTTTATAACTGGAAGTATTAGATGAAAATTATCCACGATCTACAAATGGAGAGAACTTGTGAAACTTGAAAGAACTAGAAAATTTGATAGACCTTGAGTGAACTCGAGAAAAGTCGCGAAGAGAATTTGAGAGAACTTTAGAGAAATTGAGAGAAGAAAACTTATAAGAAGAGAACTTGAAAGAAGAGAACTTGAAAGAAGAGAACTTGATAGAAGAGAACTTGAGAGAACTCTAGAGAAACTGTGAGAATTTGAGAGAAATTGAGAGAACTTTAAAAAACTTGAGGAAGATCTTCAATTAAACACTTGTATCCAAACTAGCTCACTTCCTATAATTTCCTTTCTCCCTAGAACTGGAAAATTAGTCAAGTAGAAAAATATAGCGGATCTGCTGGTGACACAACATGATGAATATCTCCAACTAAACCTTTACAAAGACCTAAAATCAATAGAAACATACACTGGAAAAAATATCCAGACTATTCACTCTCATATTTCCACTTTCTGTATCCTACAGACCACCATTAATCGCTCGTTCTTGTTGTTACAGATGTCCTAATATGGGTCAGCAGCCTTGGATGCTAGTTCGCATGGCTACCATATTCTTTATGACTAACCAAACGCTAGCTTTATCAGATATGTAAGTATTTTCATCAACTATTATATTACACACAAACAAATATACTCTTTGACCTCGCCACAACTATCCTCCAAAAGACTCTTCCAGATTGGGATTAGTGGAAGATGGTGTTCTCAAAGCATTGGAGATTCTTCTGGATTAGAATTAGCGGAAGATGGTGTGTGAAATGTTAGTGTAATGTGGGAATTTCGTTGTTTCCAGATTCGAAGAGGGCAAATCCGACAAGGAGATCCTGGATAATCTGCTGAAGACGACGCGCTACGACAAGCGCCTGCTGCCGCCGGTGCGAGGTAAGTGAGGGCGTCGCGGAGGCGTCGCGGCGTCGTTGTGCTTGGTAGATAATAAAATTCTTTTTAGATGCGAATACGAATAATATTTGATATACTATCTGTCTATATACAGAACGGTTCTGTTCGATGTTGCTGATGTTGTTTATCGTAGATTTTAGCGTTATCGAAAGAGAATTTAGGGAGTTCTTATACAATAGGTGTTGATTTGTGATGATTTTAGAGTGTTTTTGTGTTAGTGGAATATACAAGGTGAGGCATTTTCGAATGAATATTTGTATTTGGAATAAACATTTCTATTGTTTATTTGATATAAGGAATCATTGACAATTCAGAATAACACGAAGTGTCACTAATCAATTAAAATGCTCTAAAAATACATTCGTTTAGAATAGAAACCGACCAATTTCGAAACGAAACAAACATGTTGTAATTTAGCGAATTTTAAACCAAACAATTGTCGCTTTCAGTATTCTTATTTTTATTTTTATCAGTGTATACTCGAATACGACAGGGAATTTATAGAGTTTACATGTGTATTTAAGGTACACCATTAAAGCGTATTTTATACACATGTATGAGCATGAATGTGTTTATTACGCCTCTAAAAGTTTTGTAGACAAAATTAAGTGTTCACTGTGGTGTTTATTAAAAGTGCTAGATTAGTAGAATAACTTTACAGCTTTTGGAACTCAAAATTTATAAAAGTTTACTTACATTTTTTTTATCTTTATTCATGGAAAAGTTTGTGATGAAAGCATATACACTCTTGTAGACGAAAATAGCTTACTATTGTGATACAAACGTGCCTATTTTATATTTATCTGAGTACATTTTTCAAAAAAACAACTCCACTTCCGACAATACGCTACTACATATTAACAAAAGGTATGTGTGTTAATAACTTACTTGCATGGAAGCATCGCTTGTTTAATCGATTGTTTAATGCTTTATTTTCCTCGTTCGCCGTTTAGTTAATGCTCTTTTAAGTAGAGAGACTAGATTGATTGCCTCGATATGTGTTTCTGTGTTTAGATATTTTCAGTGCGATTTTACAATGAGCCATTAACAATGTCGGATTTGAATCCATATTTCAAATGCTGGACAAACATCCTTCATGTCGCTATAATTAGGTCCCTGTACGATTTGAAGTCCTTTTAAGCTCGTTTTAATGGATCCCAAAGCTCGTTTAAGGTTTTTTTAAAAAACTAAATTTAAATTGTTTATATTCTTAATATACAAGGTGTTTCATGTGAACTTTAATTTACAATTTTCTTCAAAATTCACTCAGTAAAATGATGATAATTTTCTAATAATAAAAATAAGTTTATACAAGGTAAAAATTCTTTTATATGTATGTATAAGGTGCTTTATAAAAAATGCTATGAATTTTTATTTGACAAATTGTGTGAAAATTAACTCCCTAAAATGTTGGAATACTTTTACGAAACACCTTGCATTAAAATTATACATAAATATTAATAATAATTTGATAATAATTTTCTAAAAATAAAAACACCAAAATAAACCAATTCGTAAGAAAATTAATGGGGTGATTATGATCTGAGTAAATGCTATAAAAGCACTCAGTAAGTATCAATAATAATAAGGCTTATAAAAATATTTTTTTTGAATATTCACTGCTTACCTATATTTAATTTTTATATTACAATTTTGTATTATAAACACGTTCATGTTAATAACGCGTTGGCGTCGCATTAACTAAATCATAAATAAGTAATTAATTAATTTTTATTGATCATATATAATGTGCAAAGTTTTACAATGGCGTGACGTCATCGCCCGATTATTTGAACGCACTATAGCCATCACTCGCTTATAATGAGCTTCTAATTCGCAGCACTTTAAATTTTACTTCGTACACCCAGTAGAATGGAAGTTTTAATTCGATCATAAGTACCGATAATTCAATCGACGAGTAATTGAATAGAGTAATTTCGAAATATCCTTCGCTGTTCGTTATCATTTTTTTTGTGCAACCCTAACACACGTAAAATTGCGGCACCTTCGTTTCAGTACTGCTATTTTTTTTATTTACAGTTAACACCTTACTCGAGCAGGCACGTATTCAAGAGCATGATCGCACACGTAAGTACTGTGGGTACGTAATAGAACCGGAACGGAATTTAAAGCGCCCGGAACGAGGAAGCGAACAAGTAATGAACAATTTTTTTCACTAAGTATTTAAATTCCCACTGTAAGAATTGCGCTAATAATGGTGAATATAGAGATTGTTGTAATTTGAGCGCTGTGGTTTATATATAAAGGGATGTTTAGTTGAATTTCGAAATGTATGAAATATAAAAAGCGCTCATTTTGGAACACTCTGTTTAGGTATTAGGTGTAATTGATTAAATTATGTTTATTTCCATTCGTTGTTTTATTTGACAATGCCGATCAATGTTAGTATTAATATGCAAAAGAGCCTGTTAAGCATTTAATCAATCATCAAAATGAACGCATAATTGTTTAATCAGACAAATGAGGCTTGTAATAGGAAAGCAAGTTCGATAGCAATTTATTCCTCTTCTTTTTATAGCATTTTCCACTTTGCATAATTCGCTGTTCTGGCGAATGTAATTCGTTTATCAATATCTGCGATGAGCCAAATAATTTTTTTTATAGATATTATTTAATATTTGATAGAGATTATTTTAAGGTGTATAGGTTTCAGTATAGCCAGTTGAATATATTAGTTTATCCACGATATACAATTTTTGTACATAACCTTGTATATTCACTCAATCGAATTTAATTACTATTTTAAATTATTTAAAACCGAACCAATTGTTACAGAATCGCTTACCGTTAACGTTAGCGTTTTACTGCTAAGTTTAGCTTCACCGGACGAATCCAGCTTGGTAAGTTTCGAATCCTCGCGCTTATACCTACAGTAACACACTGTACTATTTCCACGACCGCAATTCGTGTTCCAGAAATACGAAGTGGAATTCCTGCTGCAACAGCAATGGTACGACCCGAGACTGAAGTACTCGAACCAGAGCCAGTACGACTACCTGAACGCCATCCATCATCACAGCGACATCTGGATACCGGACACTTATTTCATCATGCACGGCGACTTCAAGGATCCCATCGTGCCCATGCATTTCGCTCTCAGGATCTACCGGAACGGGAGCGTCAACTATCTTATGAGGTAAGTACCCCTCGCTTCAGATACGCCCAAGTACTATCAATGAATGTTCTATGGATCAATGTTGATATGAAAGATTGATCTACTGGGTGGCACATTGGTATGGAAAAGCTGTACTGTAGAAGATATCAAAAAAAATCCTTCACAAAAGTTGTAGCAACATATTTTAAAAATTGGTTATACAGGGTGATTCTGCATGAAAATATAAAGATATTTTGCTATATAAACATATGTCCGCGAAAGCTTCGTTTTCGAGGTATGGGGTATTAAAGTTTCTTTACTACTAGAGAACTTGTTTTGAGGAAATGAGGAAAAAATACACGTTAAGATGTTTTATTTTTTTACTCGAAAACAGCAGCCCGTACGAAAAAAACACAAGAGAGGTTTTTTGTCACAAATTGAACGAGGAATTCATTCATAATTGAATTTTCAATAAGAATCATCAGTGGCGTACCAATATTATTTTTTTCTTTAAAAAAAATTTATTACCGCCCGTATGCGCGCCAATGATGAACATACATTTTTTAATTTTGTGTCAAAAAATGCGTAATAGTTACCTCTCAAAACCCACCAAATTTCATTTGAATATCTCGTCTGGTTTCAGAGAAATATAAATAAATCTTCGGTTTTTAAGAAGAAACTTTAACACCCCGTAAAATATTATTTTTTCATGCAGAATCACCCCTGAAGTTTGTCGCACTTATTAATTAACACCCTGTATTTATGCAGAGTCTCCTGTTTTGCCGTTTCAGACTAAACTTGTACTTTTTTGAATGGAACACCCTGTTTGTTATTCATAACAGATCTGAGATATTAAGCTTTTTCGTGCTAATATGCCACTCTGTAAAAGTTGATAATATTAAAATCAAATAATATAGCAGTATCACGCAATATAGTCTGTTCGCCATCAGGAAATAAAAGTAATAAATCCTTCTTGAAACAGTCAACCATAGACGTGTCAATAAATAAATCTGATAGCGAACGGAGTATACAACTTTTATCGGCGCCTAACAAATCTCCATGTAACATGATTGATTGATTGCACCGAACAATTCCGTTCCAGGAGACACCTGATTTTATCCTGCCAGGGGAGTTTGCACATTTTCCCATTCGACGACCCGACTTGTACGTTCTCGATGGAAAGCAGTAAGATCAAATATTTCTGGCGGATTTCACGGCCCCCGCGGGACTGTTACGTTTCGTTTTCTGTTCCAGTTTCCTACGAAATGACGGCTATACGATACGTATGGAAAAACGGCGAGGACGTTCTGCGAAAGTCTCCGAGCCTAATGACCCTTAATGCTTACCTCATAAATAATTCAACGTTAGTTTGTCCAATAAAGTCTAGTTGGAGAGGTAAAAATTGCACGTTTATTGCTGTATAAAAACGGGGGGGTTCGGTCAAAATTAGGAAATTTACTGATATTGCTAAACATAGTATATTGGTTTAGGTATAGGGGAAACATGAACTTCCTTTATTTTCTACTGCTGACTTCTATAAAAGAGAAAAAATGGGTGGTTCCATTAAAAAAAATGAAGAAGAAATTTGTTATGTTTGAAGTTCAACTTTACACAATTTTTATACACACCCTGTATACAATAAAGTGATGGTAGCCACCGTGCAAAAACATTTCCCAATTCTTTAAGCGTTCGCTCGTAAAAAAATAATTTAAAAGTGTTTTTTTTTCATCGGTTAAATTTCTTATCCAAATTTGATAACTAAAAAAGTATACATTTTTGTAATAAAGCATTTTAGACAAAAGTACTCTAAAATTTTTCGTAGATTTCACAAATGCAATGAAATAATAAGGAGCCCTATTTAAATTTTTATAGCTAATTTTTATTCAAAATGGGGACAACCTGTACACATCTAATTAATTTCAAATTATACCCACAATACATATAAACTGCTCCACAAAAGTTAAGGAATTTCGCAAATTTTGCGATTATTTTAAAAGTTAAAGACTTTTTGATCACCAAATTTTCAAATATGCGAAATTAAATGTTTTCTCTCATATCTAAGTGGATTTTTTGCCCCTACCACTACAATTCATACTAAATATGGCGAACAAAAAACCTGCAACTTTTAAATTAATCTCAATATTTGTGAACTTCCTTAACTTTTGTGGAGCAGTATATTTAAATCGAACAATTTTAAAAATCTCTTACCATTTGCCTACACTACTGCCTCCCATTGAAAGTGACTCACCCTGTATATTTATATGAAATGTAAACCACCTATTACAAAAGCATTGTTCATGTAGACCGCATAATACCTTCAGAGCTGGGGCGGTAGACCGCTTATTACAGCAGCACCAAGAATAAGGCAATTTATGTTAATTTCTATATCAAAAAAATCAATAGCAAAATAATTGATTGGCCCACAAACCTAAATCATAACGATAGGTGCTTGTAAATTTTTAACGATCCGACGGCTATATGGAAATACCAAACCCCGCCGACACAATATTTACCCCTTCGATCTCTATTTATAGAAATTTAATAGTTAATTACGTTCGTTTTAAACGGATAAACACTCGATTTCTTCGGCGGGCCTCGACCGGTTCAATTGCCCCCAAACGGTTTTACTAATCCTTGTTATTTCAATCGACAGGGAACTATAGCTGCCTAATGGTGGAACTAATATTTACGAGGGATCGAGCCTTCTATTTTACCACAGTATTCATACCAGGCATAATACTGGTCACCTCGTCGTTCATCACGTTTTGGTTGGAATGGAACGCCGTTCCTGCCAGGGTTATGATAGGTGAGGTATTTCATCATTCATCACATCTCGAGATACTTTCATAAAGCTCAGATATTTCTTCACTCGTTACTTCCCGTCTCTCAATCATGGTACTTTCTCAAATCGAAGCAGAGTCTTTACCATGATCATTTCCAAATACAATTCCATTATTATTTCCAAGTACAATGTTCAAAAGTCCTTTTAAAAATTGTACCTTTCTCTCAATCTTTCTACCTTCTCTTTATCATGGTCCCAGTTCCACTTTAAGACCCCAAACCAAATTACCTATACCCTGTACCTCACCCAATGTAGCTTGGCAATTGGAATAATTAAGAGTTTACTTAATCTTTAACTTCGTCCAATTTTCTTTCTCGTTCGCCTATCTAATGCAATTTTTAACTGCCAAACTACATTGGATGAGGTTTAGATTTCTTCTTTATGCGTTAAGTTTCATCGTTGAATTATTACCTAAAACTCTCTCTTACTTTTGACAATAAAATAGTCAAAGTGTATTCAATATTATCTGTTAAAACGAAGCGTTCGTAAGAATACATCAGTTTGAGTAAACAACAACGAGGTGGGTGATAGATGACGTAGTTATATCAATGATAACGATCGGCTATCAGAGATTATGCAAAACAGATGCAGTTTGTATTCAAATCGAATGCGATCGACTTGCAAATCGCTTTTTATGAGCCGATTGGAATTAAGAAGGAGGCGTGTAGATAAAAGTAGTAATAAAAGAGAGGATGTGCAATTTAAAATTGCAAGTTATATGGAGGTGTTTTGGTAATAAGATAGAGGATTTAAAGGATAATGAAAGTAGAAAGAGGATAGTGAAATTGTGATGAACATGATGATGGTGCAAGTAATATGGAATGTAATAGATGGAAAAGAATGATGAATGATTGAATGAATAGCTACGAAAAATAATAAACACCAGAAGAAAATCACTAATAATTCCAGTACCTTTTGCAAAAGTCCAAACTTCTTAAAAGTCTCAAATTTTCCACTAATTTCATGGTAAATTAGTTTCCAACAAAGTAATTTGCCAACATCATCGTCATAGGATGATCTCCTGGAGCTCCCACACCTCTCGAACTTGTATATCATTTCTTTCATTCATTTAAAGCTACAGCACTTTCTGCAGTTTCCATCAAATTGATGATAAATTTGTCCCCAGTTAAAAGATATATCTTACCGACACCATCACCATAGTATCAGCTCCTGCAACTCCTGCACCTCTTGAACTCCTCCAGAATTTCGAATACCAATTGTACCAATTATTTTTTCCATTTTCATGTACATCCTGGATGCATTCCTGGACATACCTCTTCTACTTGTACCTTATTTCAATCATCCATCTAAGCTTACCTCACCCCAGCAATTTTCCACCAATTTAAGAAAGAATTCATCCCCGCCAAACAGATCTTACTAACACCACCATCATAGAATCTTCTCCCAAGTCTCCTAAACTTGTAAACCGTGATTCCTATCCATCCAACACCTTCATCTAGCTAACTCTAAGGACTCGCTTCCTTCACTTATCGTCCTGGTGATGTTTCCTTCAAGGCGTAACGACCATGCTCAACTTTTTCACGACGTCGAACGGCTTCCGTTCGACGCTGCCGGTGGTGTCGAATCTGACGGCGATGAACGTCTGGGACGGCGTCTGCATGTGCTTCATCTACGCCTCCCTGCTGGAGTTCGTGTGCGTCAACTACGTGGGCAGGAAGCGACCCCTGCACAACATCGTCTACAAGCCGGCGGAGAACATTCTCGCCCAGGTGAGTTGCTATTTAAGCGCGCGCTGCGCATGCTCCGTCATAGTTTGAATGATGACGTTCGGGTACATCGCATTAGTGTGACGTTGAAATTGTCGGTTGTCACTCCGCCATTTTGGCGCGGGGATGGCTTGGCGAATGTGTGGCAAAATGGCGGATGAATTCGAATTTTTAAAGGATGTTGGAGGGTTATTTTGTTTGGGTACTAATTGGCATAGCAACGCGCTGTTTCGTAACGTATTCACTAATGTGGTATATTTTAATACATTCTATTGCAATGTTTGGGCATCTGTAGGGTTCGATTGGGTTTAGGATTAAACATATAAGGGATCCCATTAGGGGTGCATCTCTTTTTAATTTTGTAGCATATACGCAACAAGATATATCCAATTATCTAGTTTTTTCATTCAAATTATTTTGGAAAAAATATCGGGATAAAATCAACAGTTTCCCGTAAGCCTCAGTAAGTTTTTGCAGATTTCCTTTTAGATAAGCGACATGTTTAACATAAAAAAAAACAATTTACGCATAACTATTACTCCGTTGAGCGGATGTTTCTTGTTTGTGTGGATTTTCTCGTTCGCACGGTCGATTATTTTCCCATTTTCTTTCGGTAAGTATGTTTACAAACTGCCAATTAGCTTCTAGCTTTCAGCGCTTTGTCGAAGAGCTTTTCATTTTCCCGATTAACGATCGATTTTTTAGACGATTACTCCGGCTTTTAAACGATTATTTTGGCGTTATTTTAATTACGTTAGTTCGATTAAGAAAAGGAACTTGCCCAGTGCACGTTATTTAGTCATAACTATAATGGAATGTTTTGATTTGCTATTTATATGATGAAGTGGGCGAATAGGTGGCGCTGGAAATCCGGAGAATTTTTGAAGTTACTGGAAATGACAGTTTGCCTGTCAAAATTGAAATTAAATGTATGTTGCATTGAAAGAGAATGTCATTTGCACAGCCATCTACAGTTCAATTCATTGGGTATAAATATGTCCTTACTTACAATCTAATTATGATTACTAAAACAACCATTCTAGAACATTCTTCTAATTAATTATCTAATTACCTTTTCTATTAAACCGACGTAACAGTTAGATTTTTATACTTCTCATGTGAACGAAAAAAAAATACATATATTTTTGCGACGTTTTGTTTTTTACGAATTTTAGCGCGCCACTTTACTAATTTTCGTTTTGCTTTTGTAGAGCAACCAAAAACGAAATTCAATGCCAATGGTTCCTAACGAAATCATAACTTGCACCAATTGCGGACCAAATCCATGTACACACACTGCAAACAATGGATGCCCAGAGGTAAATACGAAGCTTTTGTAGAAATTTAAACGGTGTAAATCCACCGCACTTGCCATCCTCTGATACGTGTAACGTGTTTGTACCTAATTAGATATTAGAAGAGGGAGGGATGTTGTGAAGGTAACACTCTGTATATAAATAATCATCGGTCCCCGTACTGTATTATATTTGATGCTATTTTGTACTGCCTAGCACCTAATTTATGACGATCCCCACCTTGCTACAGCCACAAGCTCGCTTTCTTACAGGTTACTTAGGTACAAAAAACACCGCAAAACCATTTCAGGTAAAGTATTAAAGAGTTACCACTCCTTAACACACCCCGAGCAACTTACGAGTAAATGTGCGCTATACGTAAAAGTGTTTTGTAAAGCTGACGCCATTTTGTTGCAAATGTAAACGATTCTCATTGTAGCCAAATTGCGATTACAATCGGAGGTATTCGCAAATTAGTAGAAGTTACTACCCAAATACTAATATTTAGTCGCAATCATTGTACGTGAATTAAAGCTAATCCTTATTTTAATGTACAGGTAGATGCAAAATTGTTTGCAATATAGACTATGGGTGCAACAGACAACTGCTATTACATTCACATAAAAGAATAAGAAAGAGTGATAGTAGGCAATATTTATAAAAAGAAGCATAACCTTTTGCTTTCAAAAACGAAGGAATTGCTTGAAAAAGAAGTGAAGGAAGAGAGGTTTTGCTTCGAATTGCAACTTTCTCACTCTAACAACTGTTATTTTAATAATCTTTCTTTGTTCAACTCATAGAATTGACCATATTGCAAACACATATTTGCTTCTGCCCATATTTAACTAGAAGTATCTAATAAAGGCACTTAATAGTTAATAGGATTCCCCGAATAATCAAACTTACCCAAACTTACATGTATTAACCACCACAATTTTTATTTACTTTGTATTGCACACTTAAATAACGAATAAACCATTCAAGCGTTAAACGTCAGTTATCAATTGTCATCAGCTGTCGATTGTTAACCGTTTAGCGATTGTTTTCTTGAAGTTTTTTTTTATAATTTTAGTTGATTTGTTCTGTTAAGTGGCGTGTACATTTTCAAATAATCTAACCTTTAGTAGGTATCTTTTTTGCAGGTGAGGAAAAAAGAGCCGCCCCATCCGATTCGAGTGGCGAAAACGATCGACGTGATAGCGAGGATCACGTTTCCCACGGCCTTCGCGATTTTCCTTATATTTTTCTTTTATCACTACAAGAGCTTCACCAACGTCGCGCACGAGGAATGAATTGCGAATTATGAGGGGGAAAATGCGGGGGAGACGGGGCCGTCGCGGGCGGGAACTTTTATTTTTTCTATACGTTACTGTTTCGTAGTTGATAGTTGATAAATGAGAATTTTATTAAGCGAATGTGATAAAGCTAAGGCCAGTTTGCCTTTATCTATTTATTAGGTAATGAAAAGAATTTAAGGTAGGTAAATAGCAAAGTCGGTAAATTTGACAGGCTGTATCGTAGCGGGTCGAGAAAATGTCATGTCACTTGCGGCAAATGGCGTCAACCTTTCTAACCACATAATTAATATAAAGAAAATATTTTCTATAATAATACTCTTAGTAGGTAAATTAACTATTACGAAACGATAAAATTGTATTATAATTCAAATTGACAGCGAGTGTCAATGTCAGAACATTCCGCCATTTTGGCGCGAGTGACGTCACACTTTCCTATATCACGAAACACCCTGTTATTTTACTAGCCTTGGGCAAATATCTTGTAAACGCGAATATGTATACATAATTGTCAATTTTTTAATATTCGATACTTTAAATATAGGACGACGTGGTCCAAAGCATACATTTTTAAACAAATTTATTTATTTACGATAGCGGTACAATCGGATTTTCATTAAAGAATACATTCAAGCAATAATAGATAGCGTTCTGCTGCGAGGAGTAGCAAAAATAGCATACACGAACGGCGGAAAAGGACTTTCCGCCATGATGGCCTCTTATCTGCAGGCGTCCGGCCAGTTTAGAAAAAAATCGTCCAAACGGTGGAAGAATGGTTTGCAAATGGATAAATCGACGACAATGCAATCATTAGGCGGTTCCTTAAAGTTTGCACACCCTGTGTATGTGGAAATGACGTAGACGAATTTTGATTTTGTACCGCTTGTTCCACTGTAATACATTCTTTGTGATGTCGAAATACCTAGTTTCATATAGCACATTCTTCAACTTAGATAAAATGTATAAATTTCATTAAATATATATAAAAATATTTACAAGAATTTATATAAAATATTATATAGTTATTATGTAAAAGATATATCAAAATATTATGCAGGGTTCTTCATCATCATTACACCACATCTTATTGTGTACTGTAATAAAGGATAAAGGAAAATAAATACCTATAAAGGAAAAAGAAAGAGTGATATTGTGTCATTGCAACTTTTCACTCTGACAACTGTCATTTTAGTAAGCTTTCTTTGTTTAACTCATAGAAATGACCATTTTGCGAACTGAAATGCACCATATGGTATAAATCATATAAATATTAATAATTAGTATCAATTATACCAGGTAAATAATTAATTTTTGTATAATATTTTTTCTATTCGTTATTGAACTAGTCAAAAATATATCAAAGTTAACTCTGTAAGTGACAGCTATGTGTGACATAATGACATTTCTATCAATATCTAAATAATTTTATTGGCAATCAAGATAATGAGTAAAATATGTGATGAATAACCCTGTAGATAAATTCGATTATTTGTTATGATTTTTTACGGAAGTTATATCTATTATAGATTTATCTATTATACTAATAAAGTATAGTTGTAGATTGTTAATTTTAAATCCGTTGATGAACGATTCTAGTCAGTATTTCTAATGAGTTTTTTGTTATTTTTTTTAAATCCGCTACCTAAGGGAATCAATCACGATGAAGTCACATAATTTTTGAGTGACCTGATGCCATCACCAAATTTAGAGTAAGCACAAATTTGTATAAAGTTGAGGCACATTTGCTAAATCATAATTTTTTCTTCTATAAGGTAGTTTTTTACCGATTAAATTTAAACAAACAGTTTTCGAAAAACCTAGACATATTTTCAAATAAATCACCATTTTTACTAGATTTTATTATTTTTATTAATAAAATATACCATTATTCGTTCACGATGAATTAAAGAATCGGGTGGTTCCCCGGTGTAAATCTAGGGAAACACTAGCAAAAAATAAAACACCAGTTGCAATGTCATCTCATTTGTGACATTTCAGAGATATAATTCCCATTCACAGCCGCCTATTTGTTCAAATCATTGTGAACGGATATCACTTGTGATAATTCAAATCGGCGCTATACAGGGTGGACTCGAAAGGTCTTGGAGCAACTCGACTCAACTGCCTACAAGAAAATCGCAATTCTGAAACACACTATTAAATAATTATGAGCAATAAGTACACGTTAATTCAGCATATTTTCACAAGAATCCGCGGCAATTGTACGGATCTTTCGAGGACACTCTGTGCATAAGGAGACGTGCTCTTTGATATGGCAACATTTGTATATAATAACGCAGTTATCGATTTCATAACCGGTAATTGCCTATTCGAAAACATAAAATAGCATTTGCTTTTAAATAAATACATTCGTAAAATCGTCCTGTGCTTTTATTTGAAACCAGCCACCCTTAAACTGATTGTATAAATTTGACCTACGCTGTGACAAAAAAGTACCCGGAAATTCTGATTTAAATTACCTGATTTTAACTATTACAAGTTTCTGTATGTAGAAATATTAATGGAGATTACAAATTTTGCGTTTTATTCCAATTTTCTACTTTATTGTCACTGTGTAAATATGGATATATTGTGAATTAAAAATTGAAACGATCAAATTATAAAATAAAATTTCAATTTTATTTACCCCTCGCACCAAAAAAACAAGTGATTTACAAACTGCATATGTATAAATAAAATAAAAATAAATATAAAATAGGTAAATTTCCTTAATCACATCTTAATAAGATGGAATGCATTAGGTTAGAACTAATAATATAGGAAATATTTTATAATCTAGGATAAAGAGTAGTAACTAAATACGAATGGTCCGAATTTGAACTTACAAAAAATGAAAAAAAGAATGCCTTTAGAGTCCAGTTATTCTTCGCTAATCCGGAAAATATCCAAAAGAAAACTAAATATACACTACAAAAATAAGCGAAGTGATTCTCCTTTATTCGCAGAACTAAACTTCCTGCTTCATAGGCATCTCTTCGCTTTTTTCGCAAACTCAAAAATCAATCACTACAAAATAATCGAAAATTAATACAAAATATTAAGCAATAGGCTATTCGGCTTATTATAGTATACACTATATATTGCAATGTGGGATGGAATTGTATTAACAAGAAATACATCAAACATTACAAAGTTATTTAAATATTTCAATACCGCTATTAAAATTAATAAATTCTCATATTGCGGTATTTAAGTATCGAGAATTTCACATAAAATTTGATATATCTCTTTATTGCGTTCTTCCCTTATGTTACGATTAAAAATTTCCAAAATTTTCAATCAAACTAGTAAACTTATCTCGAATGGAATGTACGAACAGAATATTAAAGGCTAATTACATTTTTTCCAACTATCAACAATGGTCTACTAAATTCTAAAAAAAAAAAAAACTAATAGAAACCTATTTGTATACGTGCGAGTTACGTCCGAAATCAATCAACAATTGGAATCGATATTATTGCTAATAAAATCTTTTTGGATTCGATTAAATCCGTACGCAACGCAATCGTTATGTCTCGTGTATAATCCAACAATTTTTTTTGGAATGTTTGTTCACTTTAATATACTAGACAACAAAATGGCTAACTAGAATGTCATAAATAAAGTAGGGTGAAAAAAGTCCAGCAAAAATCACACAAAAATAGAAATAAAATATAATCGAATAAAATTATAATCGAACGAGCTCTTCATATAATAAAAAAGGGACATAATTTCAATAATACATAATTAAAAAATATTTATTTTGTAAATGTAAAAGGGTTTCTAGTGATTTTTCACCCGTTATTATTTCGTGACATTCAGAGAGCCGCTTAAGGCAATATTTTGATTTTCTTCGAGGAAAACATATTTATATATAGGAAATATCTCTTTTTTTAACAAATATATAGTATACTTTTTTTAACAATGGACGGATAATTAGAGCAATTGATTAGGTTCATAAGGCCTTCTTGTAGGCACAATGTTCGTTTTAAAATCGTCATGATATTATTTATGTTGATCAACGATCAACGCCATGGCATAAATTCATGTTTAATCTAAAGTTTATATCATGGTAAAATTCACAGTAGGCACTTGGTCTAACAATTCCCGTTAACAATAACAACGAATTCGCTAATAAACTTTCCGATATGGTTGTACGAGATAAAAAATTCCACTAAAAACTACCGAAATATCAATCCCTTTGTAAATTCAGTACCAATAAATTATTGCTTCGAAGCATTTTACGACAATATCAACTTCAATTAAATAAACCAGCATGGAAAAAGTTTATGTACAATAAAGGGAATTAAAAATATTTAACAAAATTACGCTGATAAATCCTTGTAAATGATAATTAAAGGCTAAACTTACGAGAAGTGAGAGCTTCGTAAACCTAAAGTATAAACCGTCAAAAACCGATTCCGACATCTCGTATTCTTTGGTCCCCCGACGAAACCTTCCTTACTCCACACAGAACCATCCGGCAAAAAAGAAATTATAAAAAAAAAGTCATTATCGAAACAACCAAAGAAATTAGTAGAAAATAATAATAATAATAAACAGGCTGTTCCGCAGCGAAACGACACCGTCGCCATCTACTGGTGGCTCTTGCTCAACAGATGCGAATTGAATTCGTACACGTTGCAACACTGCTCGCCGCAAATGTTGCACTTCCAGGGATTCGCGTCCGAATGGCAGCCCTTGTGCAGGAAGTAGAGCGTCTGATCGGGGAATCCGATGCCGCAGAATATGCACTGCAGACCGTTGAGCGACCTGCAACATCACGAATTCACTGTATAAAGGGTGCTTCAATAAGAGCGCAAGATTTTAAGGTTCAATAAAACAATGTTATCTGTAACAAAATATGGAAATATTTATAAATTTATCATGTGTACATTTAGGAATTATACAGGTCGTACGAACTGATCCGCTGCAAGCATTCATTAAGAATAATGAGATAGCTAATTTAACTTTTGCTATGTAAGGAATAAAGAGAGCATACGAAATAATCACGCCCGCTATCCCCGCTATTCGCTAGTGGACGAAGCGAAGCGAATTGACGAATTCTAATATCGGCCGGCAACCGATAAATAAGTTTCTGTTCTTTACTATCTTATAGTATTAATTGAGATTCTAATTCTAATGCTTGCAGCGGATCAGTTCGTACGACCTGTATATGAACCAAAATATCTTGTAAATGGCCGCCACGGCTTTGCTGGCACAAGCGTACTCTTTTGATAAAATTTTCAATAGCATTATTGTATACATGTGGCGGTATTTTATTGATAGAGCGTCTAATTTCGGCTTTCAACGCTTCGGTGGTAGCGGGCATGTTGGCAAAAACCTGTGACTACAAGTAACCCCACAGCCAAAAGTCCAAAGGTGCTAAATCACAGAAACGTGGCGGCCATTTCTGGTCACCAAACCGGGAAATGACCCGACCGGGAGTAATGTTTAACAATTAGGACGCGATTATGTTCCATATCCAGATCCATATCCAGATTCAATGATCCATATTTACTAAATCCCAACTGTCAACTTTCGATCTGTCATGTTATAATCACGTATTATTATGACTGTCAAACATGACAGGCAATTCAAATCTTGCGGTCTTATTGAAACACCCTTTATATTATCGTTTACTGCGTTACATTTTTATGGTTTTCTTAAATTTCTATTGAAGTAGCTTTACCAGGGCGGTGGTTAATTGGGAGCAGAAGGTTTAATACTTGAGAGCTTAAAAGGGCAGTTTAATCCTTTAATAGCGCAAGTATATTTTAGGTAAAAAAGGGAAATTTTAAAATGCAATGCAATGTTTTAAAAAGCAGTGCATTGAACAAATTTACATTATAGGGTAGAGTAAAATAGACTAAAGTAGAGTAGGGTAGAGTAGTTTAAAAGTATAGTAAAGTAGTTTAAGCAAGAGCAGCAAAATATCCATTTCTCAATGCCTAAAAATACAGGATGGTCCATTTCAAATAACAAAGTTAAAGCCACTTTAAGTTAGCAAAGTTTCATCAGGGAATTTTAAACGCCCTGTAAATGGGCTATTAAAATTCAGTTTAGTTTTATTTAGTACTGTCTGGACATTATCGATACCAAATTTAAAACTTCTAGGTACATTTTTAACAGAGATATCATAGAAAATAGATTCGCCCTTTAAAAAAAATTGAAAAAAAATTAAAGAAATAAAATTTAAAAATGGTGAATTTATGGGACGTGGTGTTGTGATCAAAGTCTAATTAAAAAAGGTAAGAGAATCCAAAAATGAAGTCAAAAATGGTACTTTCCATTTGAAATAACTTTATTTCAATAAGGTATTAGAAATTAGAAGGTAGAAGAAGGTAGAAGACGGTAGAAGAAGGTAGAAGAAGGTAGAAGACGGTAGAAGAAGGTAAAATAAGGTAAAAGACGATAGAAAAAGGTAGAAGAAAGTAGAAGAAGGTAGATGAAGGTAGAAGAGTAGAAGAAAAAGAATGACTTGTCATCATAACATTTAAAATAACGATTCATTCGGCAACTCCATCCAATGACATACTGTATCAATACGAATTCGAATCCGTTCTAATTCTAATGTATATTTTAATCCGAATTCTGATTCGAATTTCAAACACTTCCTATAACTTTATAAACCATCGCCAACAAAAAATATTCACTCTACCTTTTACTCAAGCTCCTCCAAAGCGACGAGTCCGAAGGTTGTTCCGGCCCCGTCGAAGTGATGGTACCGTTGGTGGCCGAATCGTTGGCCGATTCGGAGGTGGCGCCGGGCGAGGCGGTGGACCGCCCCCGACCGCTCGAACCGCTCCTAGATATTATCTTCCGCTTGAGATCGTCCCTGAGCAGGCTCTTCAGCGGCGACACTTTGATCAACGAGCTCAGGCTGCTCGACGTCGCCGTTTGAATACTACCTGCGATCGTAGAGAAATGTAATTAGAAGATGTTATAATAGAAGTTACACACCGTTGGAAATTTAATTTCGCATAATAGGGAAATCAATGTTAAATTCTTAGCCGGCTGAAATCCATTCCACCAGTATACATTTCAATAGAACGTCGCGATCAATTCTAATAAATTTAATTGTTCTACTGGACCGCACGCCGCGATTTGTAGAGGTACAAAGTTATTTGTGTTAGGTATGAGGTACAAAATTATTTAGAAACTACATTTAATAGTTTTTTTGGGGATATTTCAAAAAAATGTGTGTATCGGTAGGTACAGTTTTCAAAGAGTAACAAATCTTGTTGAAATAAGGGAAAAAATAATTCAATTTTTAGCTAGAATTATACCTCAGCTCAGTAATATTAGATGACATCTGTATGACAGGTTTGGCTATTGTTTAGCAGAAAGCGGTGGACTATTTTTTAGAGTTCTTTTATTTTCTGTTTTAAAATAATCTTTAAGTTTATTTTTGGAGTTTCCTTTTTATTATTTTCTTAGAATTTACTTTCTTTTTCAAGCCATTGTGGCAAAGAGACATATCTACATAATTCTATTTTAATATTAGTGATATTTTTTCAATAAATTATCGTTTAAAAATTCTCATTTCTTTTTAATCGACTCGACGTTCACCTATTCGAACCCGTTTTGATACTGTCGAAGTGTCGAAACCGTCGAAATTATTTGATTTTTAATCTAACCGAACCAAATCGCGGTGTGAAGTCCAGTAGAACAATTAAATTTATTAGAATTGATCGCGACGTCGTATTGAAATGTACACTGGTAGACTCGATTTCAGCAGGCTAAGAATTTAACATTGATTTCCCTATTATGCGCGAATAATTTTCCAACGGTGTACATATAGGCGAGTGTTTACCGGACGGTGAGGTGATCAAATTCGACGGTCCGTTTCTCTTCGAACTTTCGTATTCCTCTCCGGGTTCCTGTTTGATGGGTATCAGCGATATGGACGGCGTGATGTTGGTCTCCTGTTCCATCCGCAAACTGTTGGGCTGTATGTGGCTGCTCGACGGCGCGTTGGAATTCGAATCGGCCGATTGCGGCGAATTCGGACAATCGCCGTTCATCCTCTGCGCGTCACCGCTTTGACCGGCCTGATTGGAGTTCTGGTTATCACCCTATTACAAAAACCATAGATGTATAACTAAAGCAGATGAAACTGTTTACAAAATTTTAGGGTACCAACGATAGGTCACAGTCTAACAGACAATAGAGGTGAAACGTTGCATGTTGCCGCGCTATTTTTTACAATTTCCTTCTGGTATATTTTTTATTCTTATATCCTTATTATGTAATCGTCTTAATACTAAAAGCTAATATTATTTACATTCTTCAAAATACACCCACGACATATAATAAATTGCAAGTTTAAGAAATATAGTTAAAAATGTGACGAATTATATATTTCAAAATTCCTGTAATAGATAAACTCTTACAAATTTGGCAACGGTGTACTACCGCTCGTAGTAAAATTTGTAGACGATTTCGACTGAAGAAGGATCAGAAAACAGTATCTATCTCATTTTCCCAGCGAATAATAGCAAATAGCGGGAAACCGAGAAGCAGTTGTCACTGTTTTTTCATACAATATCAACAAAATTATCATACGTAATATTAAATAATGTTATATTTTTACCACAACAATTCTTAACATAATTAAATTCTTATTTAAAATATATTTGCCTTCGCTCAAGGCGCTTGATTGGATCCGCCACGTTACCTCTATTTTTCTATCTTACTTTTTCCGCCTCGTTTACTTAAGGTTTGTTCCTACAAAAAGTCACTGATTTGTTACCAATAAGTTTCTGACTCTTCTATTTCGCATGCGCGGTTTATGATTGAATGGTGTAATCAAATTTCCGATTTCTTGATGGAACAGTCTTTACATTTATTACATATTCACCAAATATCAAACAAAAACAAAAACAACATAACCTAATAATTAACCTATATTCGGAAATACAAATTATAAACCCGAATTGAAAATGCGCTTGCGCCGGACTCTAAATCTCTGTACTATCAGCAAATTTTTCTGACTATCACAAAACCAGTCCCTTGAACTGTTGGAACAATAAATTGTTAACCAAATCAGAATCAGAGATGTCTGTGGAGTTTGTCGGAACGCCTAAATTATGACTGCGCAGACTCCTGACGACCACCGGCTATTTCTGACTGTTGTAGGAACAAACCTTTAATAATCGACAGATAATTTTCAATGTTGGCGTCCAAAAATTTTAAAATTTTTGAATTTTCGACTTACAGGGGATGAAGGAAAGCCGGGCACCGGCGCGTCCGTCATCGATATCTCGACGTGCGGCGTGAGAAAGTGCATGGGCGGCGTCGCGTTGTCCGTCGATCGGGCGCCCGTCGAATCGCCCGAATCGCTGTAGTTGGTCCCCGTCACGCTGACGGACAGGCTGCCCGTCAGCTGGTTGAGCGAATTCATCGTGCCTTCCAAAGCGAAGCTCTGTTGAGCGGCGGCGGCGATGAGGGAAGCTTGCGAACCGGCCGGACCCGGATTGTCCAGATCGATGCCGTGCCTGCGAAACACACAATTCTCGTCAAAAAATTGCGAATTCTTCGCACCGACGAAGAAACGAACAAGATGTTGGCAAGGTTGTTTCTTTAGAAGCTAACAGGAATGACAGAAGCTCTGTTATGTTGCTAGATTTATACATAGGTACACATACTCAAAAATGTTTTGCATATACTATATGGTGCATTTCGGTTTGCAATTTGGTCATTTCTATGAGTTGAACAAAGAAAGATTAATAAAATAACAGTTGTCAAAGTGAAAAGTTGCAATGACATCACAATATTACTCTTTCTTTTTCCTTTATAAGTGTTTAATAATAGTTGTCTTTATCGCACCCATAGCCTATACAACCTATATTGCAAACTAAAATGAATCAACCTATATAGTTGAAATGCCACTGCCCATTTATTATTTAAAATGTCTTTTGTTAAATTGTTTTTATTGTTAATTTTAAATGATGCTTATGCCTTTTGGAAGCTAATTTTGATGAGTAATTTTACAAATAATTCGTTCTATTAAATGTTTATTCTTTTATGCAAAGCATTTTTGAGAGTGTATATACAGGGTGGTCCGTAAGTAATGGTCCAAAAGTGAAGGGGAAGATTCTGGGCCTCAAAATATTACGATTTCACCCAACTTGCTTGAGTAAAATATTGTAAATAAAAATGATACAGAGTGTCAAAGTTGAAATAAAAAAATGATTTTTCGCTGCAGTTTGAAAGATTTTGGATGTACAGAAGTGAAAATTTAAAGACAGGTGTTTCAATGCATGAGAAATCATAATATGATAAAAACAATTTAACGAAAGACATTTCAAATAATAAATGGCCGGTGGCATTTCAACTTCATGTACAGATCGCTTCAATTCAGACCGCAACATGGTCGTTTCTATGAGTTGAACAAAGAAAGATTGATAAAATAACAGTTCTCAGAGTGAAAAGTTGCAATGACACAAATATCACTCTTTCTTTATCCTTTTTAAGTGTCTAATGGAAGTTGTCTCTATCGCACCTATAACCTATATAACCTATTTTGCGATCTGGAATGAAGCAAAGAGTATAATATGCAAAACATTTTTGAGTGTGTGTGTGTGTATACTGTATATTATGGATAAATTGAACATTCTATTGCAAAGTAGATTGGTAATTACACCGAAAATAGCTCGTTTCTTCAATCGGCAATCATTTCTATATAAGCCTCTACGAGTACCTGTTGAAGAAATGTATTCTGAGGCTCTTCATGGAGCCGGCCCGGAAGCTGCACAACGGGCACGATTTGACCAAATCGTGCTGGCCGACGTGCTCGTTCTGGAAATGCGCCCGCATGGCGATCTGCCGCTGGAAACCCCTGTTGCAGATCGGACAATGGTACGGCAGCGTTTTGGTGTGCGTCGTAAAGTGCTCGGCCAGATGGTCCTTGCGGAAGAACCGCTTCTGGCAAACTCTACACTCGTACGGCTTGACGCCGGTGTGGCGCATCTTGTGACGACGCATGTTCGCGCCGTTCGAGAACTTCATGTTGCACACGTCGCACTCGAACATCTTGCGGTGGCCTCGGTCCGGCGGAGGGTTGTTGTTCGTTTCGACCTGCGCAAAACCAGCATTAATTATTTATTTATCGTACAAGCTTCTGAGCAACCACTTCGGTGCAAGCACTGAAAGGGTACTCTGTATATGCAGAAGAATGGTACTACTATGCCCCATAGAGCCCCTGAGCCCTGAGAGATATGTCTCATCGTACCCTGGTGTATCATTGATAAACGGTGGTAAATTGATGCAATGAATGTTTTACCTCCATTTCGACTTCGCTAGTGGTGTGTACTTTAGTGAAAGAATACTCTGTATATGCAGAAGAATGGTGCTACTATGCCCCATAGAGCTCCTGAGCCCCTGAGAGATGTGTCTCATTGTACACCGGTGTATCATTGATATACGGTAGTAAATTGATGCAAGGAATGTTTTACCTCCATTTCGACTTCGCTAGTGGTGTTTACTTTAGTGAAAGAGTGCTCTGTATTTGCAGAAGAATGGTGGCTATTATGCCCCAAGAGTCCCTGAGCTATCTGATAGAGTATACACAAAAGAATGTTGCTGAGAGATATGTCTCATCGTACACCGGTGTATGATTGATAGACGTTGGTAAATTGAAGCAAGGAATGTTTTACCTCCATTTCGACTTCGCTAGTGGTGTGTACTTTAGTGAAAGAGTACTCTGTATATGCAGAAGAATGGTGCTAATATACCCCATCGAGCCCCTGAGCTATCTGATAAGAGTATATACGAAAGAACGGTGGTGAGAAATAGGTCTCAGTGTACACCGGTGTATCATTGATGCATGGAATGTTTTACCTCCATTTCGACTTCCCTAGGGGTATGTACTTTAGTGAAAATAGCGAAAGAGTACTCTGTATACGCAGAAGAATAGTGCTAATATACCCCATAGAGCCCCTGAGCTATCTGGTAAGAGTATATACAAAAGAATGTTGCTGAGAGATATGTCTCATCGTACACCGGTGTATCATTGATATACGTTGGTAAATTGATGCAAGGAATGGTTTACCTCCATTTCGACTTCGCTGGTGGCGTGTACTTTAGTGACGTGGGTGGCGAGGGCGGCCGGCGTGGCGGCCTCGAAGCCGCACTTGGTGCATTTGAGGGCCGTCGCGTCGTTGCTGTCGCAATTCGACGCGTTCGAGCCCGTAACGGTTTCGACGCCGTCGGTCTGATCGGCATCGAAGTCGAGTTTCGCGTGCGTCGTGGCCACACCACTGCCTGAATCCGCCTCATTCTCAGCAGCAGTGTTAGCCATGATCACCGTCCGCTTGCTGGTCTATTCCTTCCGTGTATGTTAGCTTCCATCAACCTCTGGAAAAGAACAATGGGATATGTTAGTTTTGATGCTATCAAAGCTACAAAATGCATTATAAAATAGTCATTTTCAATGTACTACTCCTTCACAATTTTATTGAACCCTTCCTTAACTACTTTCAAACCCACTAACACATAGCATACTCCTAAAACTTCAACTAAACATAGATCGTGGAAATCGCAGATCGTTCTTCAGCGATCGCTCGACATCGTCTGCCGCATTTTCCGTATTCCTGCGAGAATCCGATGGCATTAATCGGAGGCAAAAACCGCGTGAAAGTCGCCGGTCTGGATGGGGCATTTCGCGGATGCTTCGAACGCTTCGAAAGTGAGTACGCGCGTCTGTTGTAATCGTGGCAAGTATAAACAAGGTTTATCGCGAAAACCATTTAGATCTTGTTATTGACGATTAGGTTTTCGTCGTTTCGTCTGAATGGTCCGAATGGAATTTCGATGTCGATTTCGACGGCGTTCCGAACGGGTGGGAATGTTTTCGAGTAGGTTCGATTGCTGAGTCGATGGGATTTTTTGGAAGGTTTATCTCGAACAGTATTTTACTGATAAGCTAAAGAAGCTCTAATGGTGTGAGTTTGTAGTAGAAACGATAAATTAAGAATAAAGTAAAACTCCTATTAGAATATTAGAATTGAAACTTAACCTCGAAGATTCGCTTCATAATACGAACTGCTATGTTTCCGGGTAAATTTTCTTTCTCTTGAAATATGTGGAAAATACATTACTCTATTGATAAATTTCGAACTATTTTTCGTTGTTTGTAGGTACTAATTTTTATCAGAAAGTTTAGTGTTTATAACACGAGTATGTTTTATTTTCTATCCATTGATAGTAACCGTTTTATTTCGTTTGGTAAAATTTTAACAGTTCGATAAGTATTAGTGTTTTAAAAGTTCTTCGTATGGCATGTTTAGGTCTATTTTTAATTATTTTTAACACTTTTTAAATAATACTGATTTTATTACCAGTTACCAGTTTTATGTATTGTGGTTGGAATATTATGGTGGTAAATTTAATTTGTTCGGAAAGTAAGTATTTCGAAATTGCCCTATAAAAATTCTATAATTTAGTGGAATATAATCCAATTTGTTTACTAGGTAAAAATGTTCTTATTGTTAGTAAAATAATAAAACCTTTATTATTGCGAATAATTGTAAATTGTATTGATAAAACAAAAACAAAACGTTTTGAAACATAATAATTTCGCAATTGAAAACTAAAACATAATTCGAACCGAGTAATACACGAGCAAGTTAAAAAAAATGCAAAGAATAAATTGCGAATTAGGTTAAATCCGACCCTGACATAACCTAAGACAATAAATACCCTAATCAGTGATAAGTACTTTTTTCTGATATCTCGTAAAAAATCATATTACAGTAGTACTTACATGAATTAAGCAAAATACGAGAAATAAAACAGCGACACTTGTAACAGGAATAAAGGGGCCTCCTAAGGGCAATGACCACACGAAAAAAATAGGTTACTAATTGCAAAATCACTAGAAATCGCTAACCAAAACGACTTCTTTTTCCAATCGAATCGTCGCGAATTAAATGTGCACGGCAGTATTACATCATAAGAAAAAGAATAACAATATTTACACGGTATTTTTCAAAACGAACGTGCCACCAGTAATCGCGAAAAAACAATGTATGTTGCGAGTACGGTACTCCAACACTCCAAACACGTCGACAGTACTACTTACAAAAGTAACGTTATATTTGGGAATGGGGACCGAATCCCACTGCACTCATTTTATGCACTAGATATCAACAAATTGGAAACTATCTAGATAAACAACGGGCTGCGAATCGCTCGTACGTCGGGTTTTTGGCTGGATTTTAGCAGAAAAAACGTGACTTACGTATGTTGTAACTAAAATTCACGACACCATTAAATAAACATTTAAAAACACCTGTACACTGATGACCGCTTTTCATCCATTCCAGGTTTGACCTGCCGAGGAAGTGGGAATGTTGGCCGGCAGGTCCGGACGCGCCCGTTACGACGACAGGAATCTGCACAATATTACGAACGCTTCTTCTCACTAATTTTATTATAAAAATATATAGAAAAATAAACAAATTATTTTAATCATATTAATAAACGTCAAAGTTGTCAAATTTTTTTTGCAAAACATCAATGTTACCAACTGTCAAATTGTTGTTATGTCTCCCTATTTTCAGCCAATCAGAGCGCGAAGAATGTTGCATAAAATAATAATAAACGATTTATTGGTATGTAAATTAATTAATAAAGAAACAGAAATGTTCATGCATTATTCATAAAGGCCCTAAAAGTATTGCAATAGGTTATTCTTGGTTTTTTGATTTAATGTACTGTATAGACTATAAACAATTGGTAACATTGACAGGAAAAAAAATGTCAGTTTTAAACATTTAAAACTAGGTGAAGAAGTGTTCACAAATCCTTTAAATATACCGAATTCATATTTTCATATTTTGTTTGATAAGCACAAAATCATATAAAATTCAAAACCTACGTGAATATTTCCTTAAAAACAATTCTATTTCATTTAATTTGTACATAGAAAAACAAGTGGTACTGGTGCGTGTCGACGCGGAACCACGTCCAAAATATCGGAGGTACTGTCCTGAGTCCAATTATTGCCGATGCCAGTAGAGATGGAATGTGTTCCACTCCGAGGAACCGTTACACCCGGATACAAGGTATTTATAAAATTTTAATGATTAAATTAAGATTAAAAGGCTATTTAATTAGCTCAAAAATGTTATTAGTTACAAAAAATCTTTTTAATGATTGATTTTCATTGATAAAGTTACTTGTAATTAATTCCTGTTAATGAAATAATCAAATATTAATGTGTACTCAAAAAAGAATTCCCAATGTCAAAGCATCAAAGTCCTTATATTACAATCATAATCGAATTTCCAAGGAACGCCGTTAGGAAATTTGGGTATTTATTATTTTTAATTCCGGGAACAAACAAGATAAAATGATTGCTTCATGGAATTATTTTTACCGCTCAAATCGTACACAAATACCAACTCGTGCATAAATACGAACCGAAATTTGTTGATATTTACTATTTACTTACACATCTCGCAAGAAATGCAAGTAATTTAACGTAAACACGGATCTGTGACGGCCGGCGGCAGCGCCCACCTCTACACGGGAATAGGATAAGCGTGACTTTTGGCGTTTCTCCGGCTTCTCGTCTCGTTCGACGGCGTGTAAAACGTGTTGCCTCTCCTACTCGACCGTATTCCGGTTAGGAAACATAAAACAATACGCCAAAACGCTCCGAGACGCCAGAATATTCGAAGCATAAGTGCAGGAAAGGTAAACATTCTTCGAACAAAAGGGATGGGTGCGCGCTCTTTTCGCCACGGGTGGTGCCTCGATGGGTTTCGGGGGTAAAAAAGACGCCTCTCGACTCGACAATAAAAGTCAAACGAAGTCGGGTTTACTGGAATTCTTCCAACCCGAAGCAAATGGGCTGTACAAATAACGGAGGAATATTTCGGATTTTGAGTAATTGAGCTTTATTCAGGGCGAAATTTGTAGGTGAAGGTCTTCTGTATATGGATTGAATAGATTGATAATTAATGGTATTTTATTAGAAGTACTGAAATTGTTGTATTTGATGTTAATTTCCAACATTTTACTAATACATTTATGTAGGTACTGAGTTAGGTTTTTTTTCGATACTCTTGCAATTTTTATTTCAAATCCTAATAGTTGATACCACATTCTATTACATGTATCTAATTCATTTCTATTAAGGTAATTCTATGAAATGAAAAGTATGAAAAATTGGTCAATTTATTATTTAAACCAACCCAAAATCCTAAACAAATTCCATCCAAACGACCCTATTCATCTACACACGACATCGGTATTAATCAGGAAACCAAGTGCCTTTAAGATACTTAGATGTAATAGGATTTAATTTAATAAACGTCAAATTGAAAATTCGAGTAGTAATACGGCGTCGAAAATAAATGACGCTTCGTGTTATCGCCACCAGCTGCTCCATAATCTAACGGCGGTGTAAATTTAGTCCGCCATTAAAACGTAGAACTAATGCCAAATATTTGCGGTTCTGACTTTGCCAAATGCTCGAGTGGGTGTCCATTCATACTAAACGGGCAACTTCGAAAGGGTATTTTCATTCAGGTCTTCTCGGACAAAAAATCAGGGAACGCGTTTAAAAGGATACTCTCGCTTTGCGCTTTGGGGAAGTTGTGAATCAATTTTATCCTTTAAATGTTTATGAGATCGTAAATTATATCCACTCATCGGCGATGGTAAATTCGACTCAAGAATATTTCAGGTAGAAAAGGAAATTATTTGAATTTAGGCGGTGCACCGGAAATCTCCACCAAAATAATAAGGGTTTACTTAGAGAGTAAAGAGTATAGTGTAAAGAGTAGAGAATAGAGAGGAGAATGGAGAGGAGAGTAGCGAGAAGAGTAGGTAGGAGAGTAGAGAGTACAATAGAGAATAGAGTATAGAATAGACAGGAGTAGAGAGTAGAAAGTCATACTTGAAATAGGAGTATGTGTTCTGATAATTGATTTTAAATTGCGATTAATTGTGGGTTAAAATCGTTGCTATTTGTAAGAATCCTGAAAGGTTTCATGTTTCAGAATTTTCCAGCAGGCATTTTTCAATTTCTATTTATAAGAAATGTTTATAATAGAAACAAAAATTTCTAAGGAAAAGTTCACGAATAAAATAAATAATATTTTATTTGGCAAAATTTTATGTACACAATTTTTAAATAAATATTTTTTTAATAACAGAGTTACATATATCAGAGAGTTGAACTAATTTTATTCTACGTGCGCATTTTGGATTGCTGCGACTGCAAATTAAAAATACCCAATTTCAAATTCGAAAGAATGTTGAATAAATAAGAATAAGTTACACCTACAAAATAAAGGAGCTTTCCAAAATCTGTATTTTTGAGATATTTATCGAAATCGTTTCTGAAAATTCTAGCATAACTTTACATTTTGCAGACAGATTGACATTAAAAGTAGTCAATTAATACTTTATGTCAGACATATACATACATATTAAGTTAATTATATACAAATTACGATAGACTATACCTACATTTAGAGCAGATTTATTATAATTAAATTAAAACTAACAATTAGGTACAATGTTATTTATAATCTCTGATTATTGCTTTTGCAAAAAAGTGACTTTTCATCAGGTATTTTTAATATAAAAATAACCCAAAATGTCCATTATTTTTTTTTATATTTCAATCGTATAGATATTTATTTATGCGGATTTAATGACAAAACGTTGAACATATAATATTACATTTGCATATTTATCTAATAATTTAAATAGTACTTTTAGTAAAATTATAACATTTATGTACACGTATAGTTTACACAACATCGAATAGCTGCTTAAATTTAGTAATTAATTAATTTACACAAATCAAATATTTGAAGAATTTGATAGATTCCAGCACTTTATTGTCATTTCGAATTAGATTCTTCTATGTACACATTTCCCCTGGGTATTGTGCCCACTTTGTCGCCGTCTTTTCGTTCTGCAAATAAAAAAAAATAATATTTAATACACTAAAAATAATTAACCAGCAGAAGTCGTCAAATTCTACAGCATTTTAATCACAGTTCGTCATTCTACAACTCTCCCTAAGCCTTCCACACAAAATATTTGCCCCAATCTCTCGGTAGAGGCTCAAAAACTGACTGTTATTACAAAACATCGGAGCTCGTAATAGCCTGTCCATCGTTTTCTAATATTAGACAATTAAAAGTCGGCCGGCGTGCCCAAAAATCCCGTTCGGTTTCCAAAAAAAACCCCGTTCGCACGTTAATCATCCAGACAGTCTGGATCTCTGGATGATGTGTACCGTGTTCCGGCGCATTAGCCGAATCTATTCGGACGCGGTTAAATTAGATTAGACGGGGTTTCTGGTTAGTTTAGTTTTTTTCCTAATGAAAAATGTAACGCGATGTATGATGTAATTCCGGGTGTACGGATTCGAGAGGAAGTTCCAAAATACCGGATTAAATAGAGGCCAGAATCTCGGGCTATTAAGAGACCAGCAGTATTTAAATATGTATAGGATGTGGGTAGTTTGTTTCCTGTTGACGTGTTAGAAATTTTGACCTGATTTGTATGTTGAAACTTCCTAGTTTGATGGGTATTCTCATAGTATCCTTAGAGGCTATTTAATAGTAATGAGAGCTTTAATCGTTGATTAGCAGGTTTAACTTGTTCATGACAAGCATTATCTCTGCGTGCTGTTCTGTCGAGGAAATGTTGGAGAATTTGCTCGAGCCAAATTTGGTAACAAATTTGACTTTGCTCTATGTGGCTTCAAAATCAAAGACTTATTTTGTTAACCCTACAATACATTAAACAGGCGATATTGCATATTGATCCGCACACATAGAATACCCTGGAATTAAACAAAGCGAGACCAATAATTAATCGAGCTTGCTCTAATTAAAATGCTTTATCGAATCGATGACATGCATCAATCGACAGGGAAATTACTCATCCTCAATTCAAACGTTTTGATTTTCAATGGGATTTAATCAGTTCGACCAACAAAAATCGGGCCTTTAGAGCATTTGTCGAGTTTCCTATTCCGCCGGAAATTAATTTTGCTTGTGCAGGTGTGACCATCGGCATTTTGTTCATAAATCAATATTCACAAAAAAAACCACACAATTTTGAAAAGTCAAGTTAGTGTTCACGTCATGCAAATAGTGTGTTGATAAAACAAGCAAAAAATTAACTGTAAATGACTGATTTATCGTTATTGTTTATATCAGTATTAATCTTAATATCAATTAAGAAGAGAGTCTACAACACATACATTATAAATTAACTCAGTAAGTTACCTGAGTAACTGAGGTAATTTACCGAGGTAACTTACAAAGTTACCAAGCTTTTGAATGCCAAAATTTGAATGCTTATGTGTACCAAAGGCCAAGCTTTTGAATTATGTCAATGTCAGATTTGAGTTATAACTACACCAAAAGTCAATCAATTTGACAAGCAATATTGCGACTACAAATGCAACAATATTTAAAAAATAAAACATGTAAGCAAATAATTCGAAATCGGG